TTATGCATAAGCAAAGCTCCCTCCGATTGAACATTCTTTTTCATTAATTGTATAAGTAAATATTAAATCATGAATTGCGATGCGATGTAATAAAAAAATTTTTAACAAATCATGATATATACACTTATATGCTGTAGTATGTATGCATTTAAAGGAAAATTCGGGATTTTATATCATTCGATAATTTAGACTTCGAGATTTTGTACCATTCGGGATTTTGGATTTCGAGATTTTAACCTTTCGATATTTTGGATTTCGAGATTTTGGACGGCACCCAATTAAATTACAAGTTAAAAAATCTTTAATCTTTAAAATGTTTTTTAATAAGTTAAATTATACTTGAATAAAAATTTATAATTATATATTTTAAAATACAAATTTACATAAATTATTTTTTAAAGTTTTAGTTATAATACAATATATTATTAATAAAACTTTATGTTATAATTATCTAATACTTATTTTATAAAGTATTCTTATAATATGTGATAAGTTATGCTAATAATGTTATACTTTGAAATACTTTTTTAGAAATGATTGATAAAATGATCAACAAATGTATTATAGATAATTTTATATAAAAAATTTTTTTTTTCAAAATAAACTTTAATAAAACTTATATTTGACTTTAAAATTTATATATAGAGATGTATTTTTACTTATTCTAAAAGTTTATTTAGAGTGTTAAAAGAGGTTTTACTTATAAAATTTGATTTAATCACGTTTTTTAAACAATATAGTTGGTATAATCTGTCATATATTACAAGTGTATTTTTACAAATTTAAAATATATTGAAGTTTAATTACTTTAATAATAGCTTGTATTTTCTTATTTTATTTTTATCAATTATTATTAAAAGAATTTGTTATAATAATTAAGAATTTTTAATAAATATAATTTATAAATAGATTTTTTTTTATAGCATTACAGTTAACTCTCTCTTCTTTAAATATACATAATATATATATATATATTTAAATGCATGTGTGTTTAATCTTAAACATGTAGAAATTATATAGAAATTTTCTCATTAAATAAATATTTTTTTTAAATGCATTTTTTTAAAATTTTCACTATAGTTCCAAAAGTGATATATTTAAAGAGATTGACCATATTACTTTTATATAATTTTATATAATTTATTTTTAATAGAATTATGTTATTTATATTAAAATATCTATAATTTATAATTTTTTAATATTTCATTTTATAAATTCTTATTTCATTTAATCATTTAATTATTTTATTCTTTTGTAATAAATTTTTTACTTACTATAAGAAAAAGAATATTTCTATATTTGTTGGCCATTAAACTATGATACAAATAATCATTTTTAGATTTTCAATCAGTAGTTTTATAATTTAATATCTATTTTTTTTTCTTATTACTTTTCTTACCAATTGACAGATAGGAGATATCCCAAAATTGTCTGGCGTTGCAGTATTCTCTTCTGGTAATAGATATTTCAACAATATGTGCATTTAGAAAACCTCGATGACAATATTCCTTACGTATGAGGGAGGTCACATGCTCGTGTCGTGAGAATGGTAAAATCATCGGGAATTACGCTAGTTGACGCGAATATTAGACGGGCATGACGGTTTGATTCAGATTGCGACGGGAACTAGATAAAGAATCAAACTTTCTTTCTCCAAAGATATCAGACCGCGACTTTCCTTAAATTCTCTAAATATGATTCCCAAGATTCCATGAATGCGCTTGTACAGAATATTATTTGATGTTTATACCCTTTTTACCGATTATAAAATGAGATTGATAAAACGTATATTCCCGAATTGGCGTGAATGTTTATAATTCGGGCTGAAGTTAAGAAAAATCATTGATACAGGCCATAGTGCTCTAAAAATCACGTGCCGTACATTGATGAAGACTTTCTTGCAAGTTTTTATTGTGCTTGAAACGAACATAATCTTTTGCAGAACTTTATCTTTAATTTTTTTTTTTTTTTTTCACTTTAAAATACAAACAATTCGTTTGCTTTGCGATGATTTACTGTTTTTTTTTTAAAAAAATTTATTATTTTTTTTTTTATTATTTATTTATTTGAAATTTTTTTTTTTTGAATTTTAATAATTAATAATTCTCAGATACTTGAAATTAGAGTTTTCCCGCCAAATTGTATTTTACTTCAAAAATTAAAAAAAAAAAATGATCTTTACATTGATTACCTAATAGAAAATCTTTTATTGGGATCTTCCGATCTTGATTGTAATTTTATTATTATTATTATTATTATATCATGATGACATAAAGATAATGTAAAGGAGAATGAAGAATTAATTTAAAAAATATTTTTTTTTTTCCCGCCAAAAAAAAAAGGTTTTAACTTTAATAAATGATATATAGTAAATGACTTTCAAATTAATATCAAAGAAATTTACATTTCAATCTTTGATTTACATATGAATTACTTGTGAAAGAGTTAATTAATAACCGAAAGAAAAATTAAAAAAGCTCACACGTGGGATTTACCAAGATCCCTTTAAGCATGAGATTATTTGTGGGGTAAAAATTAAAAAGAATTGAAGAAATTTTAAATTGTTTCAAAAAAAAAAAAAAAAAAAAAAAAAAAAGGTTGAAGGGCTAAGCGTTATTTGAGGTACGTCACAAGCAATTATTAAAAATAGAGTTGGTGGTGGTGGTTTTTTTTTTTTTTTTTTTTTTTTCCCAAATTAACTGACCCCCCCTTTTTAAACATGAACAATGTGTTCAATTGTTGTTTTAATTTCATTTTTGTCATTTTATCTGAATGAGATTGTAAGATTACGTATTTCAAAATAATTAATGTTTTACGACATTACAAAAAAGTTTATATATTTGATGAATTTCTTCATGTGTAATTTCCGATTAAAATAAAGAATGCCATGCGCATCGTAAATATTACAAAAGTGGCTTGGCCAAATAATTTCCCTTTAAAACTTTCCCCATGAGTTTTTCTTTCAAGAGAAAAAAACAGAAATTAAACTTGTTATTTTCTACTGACGGAATAATTCGGATTACGTAATGAGAAAGATTCAAGAAGATAATTGTGAAAAATATTTTTGATCGTAAAAAAAAAAAAAATCGATAATATTTATATTATCGCGTGTTATTAAATAATCTAAATCCTTAATAATTGTTGATTACCATTTGTGGTTAAAGAACAAATTTGTCTTGCGATGGTTAATGACGAATTAAAAGGTAATTCATTCCTTGTATGCAACAACAACAAAAAAATAAAAAAGTTACAAGCCTCTCATTTCTTTTACAAAAAGAAAATAACTCGTTTCATTTTGTCCCTTACATTAGATTTTATCAAAGTGATACCAACATAAAAAAAGAAAACATAAACATGACTAAAAATCCAAAGGTAACTTAAACACCCCCTTATTAAAATTAAATATTTTATTAATATTGTTTTAACCCCTTTTGTAGCTTGATAGAGAACCAATGAAATGAAACGTGTCAAAATTGGTGATGAATAATTGTTTAGGTAATGAAACTTTGTTCATAATAATATTAAGGAGGGAAAACGTTGAATAAAGATTGATTAAAATATCATCAAAGAAAAAAATAATCTAGCTGAATAATAATAATCATAATCGTAATAATCATAATATCCTCCATGATTCATTCATTACACAAAATAAAAAAAAGTGTTCACATAAAGATTCGAAAATTTTTCTGATGGTTCTGGTCGATGTTCATACATGTACTACTTTTGGGAACGAATTATCGTTGACATTGTGACAAGCAAAATGTAACCGATAATACGTTAATTGATAATCGAACGAATCCCATTGCTAAATGATTCCCACCCAATGAAAGTTGGTATCATTATACGCCTAAAAAGCATTATCCTTAAAACATAAAAAAAATAAAATAAAATAAAAATAAAAATAAAATAAGATATCTCAAGGTCCCGTAGAATAATAATTTTTTTGATCTTTCAATGAAGGGAGGAGGGTTCCTTGGAACATTATTCGGTTGTGCCACATTAATGTAAAAAAGGGTAAACATGTGGAGAGATATTATTGGGAGGGAAATAAGAATGAAATAAACATAATGAATGCTATAAATAGTAATCGAATTAGTTTTCAACTTTTTCATTGATCAATGCGCTCTGCAATACATCCGATTACTAGACCTTAGGGTCACTTCAGTTAAAAGCAGCTCATTTTACCTACCAATATATTCGCGTAATAGCGTAAATCGGTAAATGGTGATGGTGAATGAACATATCGGACCGAACAGACCGAATGGTTTGATCTTATTTAGCGTGGCCTTGAACAAATAACGCTCAATACTACCATAAATATAATTACCGTATAACGCCAACAAAAAAAGTAGATCAAGGTACAAGATAAAAATCTAGTTTAAATCTAAACAAGAAATGACTAGTAATTTAAATTAATAGTCATGGTGGTTTGTTTAGAAACTTTAAGGGTAAACATTGCGGTTGTCAAAAAAAAAATAATAATAATAATATTTATCATTCTCAAACAAAAAAATAAAAAAAAATTATTACAAGCATCCTAATAGATCATTCGGACGCATTGGGCAATCTGTGGACATCACCGTTAGCAAATAATATTTTATCTTCAAAAATGTTTATATATTCAAAACGTTTGGATAACTTGTGCTCGTACTAATCACGCGTATTTGACAGCTAATTAGAATGAGACCCGCTTAACCATATCGAGTAGTCGGCGGACGCGTTTGTTTTAAATAAACTCGTTCTCTGGCGTAATATTTATTTTTATGTCACGTGACACGCATTAGATACATAAACCTAGGGCCCACCGATGCCTAAGTTGTCCACCAAGAGTTCGAATTTGTATTGATAGTAAAGGGACCAGAGTTCGGCTTTATTGATCTCATATGACCCTATAAATATAACAACCATGATCATTTTGTAGTGATTCTAAGGATTCGTCTCCTCGGTTAACACCGGATTTGAGGAAAAAGAAAAAAATAAAGGAATAAAAAAAAAAAAAAAATGAAAAAAGGTTTAATGACTGAGTACTCAATGAATTTCCCTTTGAAAATGTACAACAACAATATTTGTAATAAAAAAATTGGGCTGAACATTTACCATTGCACATCACAAACTAAAAATGATTCAACAAAAAAATGTAAATAAAATTTTAAGCCAATAAATGAAATCATTTCGATTTTGATTTTAAGGTTACGCCATAAATTTCATTATCTTTTCAATTTCTCTGTCTCTCTCTTTCTATCCTCCTTCCCTTGAGTAAATTTCAGGAATTTTCGAATAATAGTGATGTAAATAGTACATTGTTCTTTAAGGTTTTGTTTTTTTGTTTATTTATTATTATTGTTATTATTTATTTTGATAAGAGAGCATTTTTTTTTTTTTTATTCTTGTGTTTGAAAAAGTGATTGTGAAAAAAGTGAGATAAAAACCAGTGTGATTTCAAGTTTTTTTTGTTGGGGACATTTTGTTTCAGGGTATCCAACAATAAGAAAATAAAAAAAATTAAAGTTGTCTTAATAAGAAATATTACAATAGTATTGTGACAAAACGAGATGTTTGAATAATAAAATAAAAATAAAATAAAAATCAACTTTATCTGATTAGAATGAACGTTGTGGGAATTGTGGAAACACAAAATTTTATACTCCAATAATCTTTATAACTCCTTATTTTGTAATTATTGTCAATCAAGGTTACTCCATCAAAAAAGGGTGAAACAATCCCCAAAAGTTGATTTTTTGATGTTATGATTTTGGTTATATTGGTAAATTTAAGTTTATACATACGTCAAAAAAATAAAATACAATAAAACCAAAACCAAAACCTAAAACCAATGCTACAAAAAAAAAAAAAAAATTTTATTTTCTAAAACTAATAATAAATATTTAAAATGACAGCTCATGTCAAAGGTACTCCAATAAATAAACCATAACGTCAAATGTAACATCAAATTTGACTTGATTGATCACATCAATATATGAGGATCAGCCAACGACATAAAACACGCTCACATGATCAAAATTCTTGCTTCTCGCAAGATCCAGATCCATTTGATTGCCATAAAATTGAATCCTTTTTCCGAACTTGACAAGGCACCGACACTCCTGACATCATTTTTTTTTATTTTGCGCATCGCATACGTCCATCAAATACACCAACACGAAACGATAAAGAACACCCATCATATAAAGACATGACATGTTACGCTATGGTAATATTCTAAATCATTTTCTTCGGCTAATTGAGTAAATAAGAAAAGAAGCACAAAAAAGGCGAATTCAAAAATTCATCCCAAACAAGGAAGAATATGCACCTCAAAAAAGAAAAAAGAAAGAAAAAGTACTTGTCAAAAAAAAAGGGATTTACCATACATGAAATTGATATTTTCAATGGAAATTAAGTGTTTGTTTCAGAAATTTTGTAACCCAAGAAAAGCAAACATATCCGTCAAAAGTGAAATAAGAAAGAACAAAAACTCGTTTCGTTGTTAATGAACAAATGGTAATAATAAATGTTCATGTATGTATGTATGTAATATTAAAAAAATTATCTCGATATTAAATTTATTGTCCTTGGCCGATTTATTTATTGGGATTTCCAAATATAGAAAGGGCTCGAACGTTGCAGTTGACTCTTATTGACCGCTGTTGGAAAAAACCATTTTTTTTTTTTTTTTCATAAGGAGAAATTTTTAATGAAGCACATACACGGTTAGAGAATGATCAACCACAAAGGATGATAATCGGCTTGCATGGGGGTGGTCAGTGGTGAGTGAGCGACATCCTTGCTCCTCAAAAGGAGTGGGCCACCATTTCGTTGAAGAAGGAGCATTATTTGTTTGGATGAAGGGCGTTGTAAAGATCAACTTTCCTAAAAATAAATTAAATCCGACACAAGAGTTACTCATTTAAGTTCACATTTCGCCAGAGGGGAAAGAAAAAAGTGATACGACACATTTGTTTACTTTTTAATGCATCGTCTTTTTTATTATTCTTTAAACATTTGGTAGGTAAGCAATCCCAGGTTTATGGACCACCTGCACGTAAACGCTTATTAAGGTGAGAATAAACGTAGTTTGATGTAAGTCATTGATGTTTTAAATTTTCTTTGAAATTCAAATTTTCTTTTGGTAAACAAATCAGCCTGCATCACTATTTACCTTATAATACCTATTTGTTTATTTTCATAACCGGATTTCAAAGACCTTTTGGAATATCTTAATAATATTGTAAACCTGTTTGTCATCAATCATCTCATTGGAGGATTGGCTTATGTTTGTTGCGTGGTCTCGTGTCATCTTATCGCGTGGCGGTATCATCTAAGAAAGACAAGTTTCTGTCATTTGAGATCAAAAGGCTGTCCCTCTGTCAAAAATGTCAAAATAGCGAATGAATGAAGTGTGAAGGAAAAAAAAAAAAATAAAATAAAAAAAAAAGGTCCGACAAGTTTTTTTTTTTTTTTCATTAAAGTTTAATATTTCCTTGACTAACTAAGGTCAGAATGACTTTAAGGGGCAATTGAAAATTTTGGTGGACTTCAATCTCATTGGTGCCAATCATTTGGTGCGACCGTGCTAACGAACAATGGCTTTGTGAATCGTCCCGTGATCGATTACACAAAATTTTCGACCTTTGGAAGGGTTAGACGTAACAAAATGAGGATCAAGGTAAATATAAATGGATCAAAATATAAAAATAAATATAAAACAAATTTAGATTTAAAAAATAATTTTAAATTGTTTTATTTTTTGATACAATAGAGGAGATTAATGTAATGTATAAATAAAGAAATGTACTTTATCTTTTTTTTTTTTTTATCTTCAATCTTTATCTCATTTTTTTTAAGAAAAAAAATTGATTTACCTTAAATGAGAGCCCAATAAGTACGTGAAAAGTGTAATGATCATGATTTAGAGATTTAGAGATAATATTGATGTATTATTTATTATTTTAAAACAAAAAAAATAATAATGTGAGATTGCTCACAGTTTGCTATTATGCAGACAGATATTGATAGATATGTGGGAAGCAAAGAATAAAAGAACTTGTTTGTCTGCTGATTCATTTATGAAATTGTGTTACAAGCCTTGATTAAAAAGAGGAAAAAAGATGTTTGAAAATAAAGCACCCCCAAAAAGTGAGACAAATGTGCGAGGATAAATAAAATGCTGCAAGATATTGTTCGGACGGGTTTCGAGATTGTTGCGTTTACAAATTGTGCTTTTGCTTGCATTCATAAAAAAAAAAAAAAGATGTACGCGACAAAGAAAAATGTGTGATTGCTTTTTTTATCTTTATTCTTTTTGCTTTTTATGAATCCATCGGTTTTTTTTTTTTTTTTTTTTTTTAAACAATATTTAACAACATTTGATCAAAGTTCAACAATAGAGATGTACGGTTTTAATGTAATTGGGCAACGGTTTCAAGTTTGAAAAGAGTTGAATACGATTATGCGAATGACTCTTTGTCTTGGACAATTGGCATCTGTTTTAAAAACCGGTGACAAACTAATCGGTTAACCCGTCGAATTGATGACCGACTTTCATAAGGAGAATTCGATCACGTATTTCCGAAAAAGCCTCCAGTCGGAAGACGATTTCAATAATAATAACCAAATAAGTTAAATGTATGTGTAATAATAGAGTTTAAACTTTATCAACTAGGACTATTTTAATTTCCCATTGTAATCAATTAGTTGGTTTTTGGCGCATAAGTGTGTTTATGTGTGTGTGTATACACACGGTAGGTTTAAGTTTAGAAACTCTTAGCTTACACGCATATACACGGATGCTTGACTTTCTCGGACTTCACACCGTTCAAGGATATATCAAAAAATCAGATAATTGCAATGATCTCGCAAAAAGATTTTCCATGCTTGTATGATTCATTATTCATCATGCGGTAGCAGAGTCCAATGTGACACGGAGTATCATTAAGAAAAAAAAGTTTTTTTTTCCTTAACTCGGTGCAGCAGGCTGAAAAGATTTCCTTTTAATGGGAAATGTAAATGACTGAACCTTGTTTGGCAAAGAAATATCCGATCCGTTATGTATTTATTGAGAGGGAGGGGAAAAAAAAAAAAAAAAAAAAAAAATCATCTCGAGAAAATTTCGATCCCCAAACGCTCTTTTTGAATCCGTCAGGAAAAAAAAAAAAAAAAGCAGGGAGCTTCAATTAAGAAAGTTTAAAACAAATATGCATTAATTTACAAGGTATCGCATATAATAACAAATCCAAAATGATTGATGGATGAATGATGATAAAATTAAAAATACAAGAGATAAATAAATAGGTAAGTAAAAAATTGTAACAGGTACAAACAAAGGATATTGATTTACATATTCTTCAAAAATAAATTTTGACGTTATATTATTATGTGAGAGGTAAATGTGCGCGCAAATCGATGGATCATATCATCTCAACGAGATTTTGATGAAATGTAATTAATGTACTGTAATATTAAAAAATTAAAACAAACTAGGGATCACCGCTTTATTTATAAAAGAATCTCTTAAAATATTTATATTACTGAAAAAAAAAAAAAAAAATCGGCTCGATGAACAAAGGATGCGAAAAGAAAAAGAAAAAAAAAAAAAAAAAATTTGAACGTAAATTGTTATAATATCTATTGTGAAAAAAAAATCATTTGATTGAAAGATCAACCCACGTCGCATTTTGCATTCACATTATATTAAAGAGCTGTTAACCAGAAATGAAAAAGGTTAAAAATTATATGATGTCGATCATGAGAATCCTTTGACTGCGCATATACGTAATTTTTTTTTTCTTTTCCTTTTTTTTTTTTTAAAAAAAAAATGAAAATGAAAGGAAAGGAGGGAAGATGAGAAAACGGGTGGCGCAGCAAATCCGCAGTAATTTACCAAATTGCGCATGTAAATATTTCGGCAACAAAAACAGTCAACACAACACATGTGTAATTATTAGAGAACAATAGGATGTGCATGTCCCCTTTGTTGCAAAGCTGTTTGCTTATGCCCGTTGGCTTATTATGATACTATAGTAATTCGATTAGAAATAGTGTTTTTTTAAAAAAATATAAAATTTTCCACATGAAAAAAAATGATAAAAAATGTTTGAAATAGAAAAAAAAAAAAAAAAAAAAAAAAAAAAAAAAGAGGCCAATTTGATCCCTATTGTACAATTTATTATTATATCAAAAAGGGACGAAAATTTTTGATGAAAATCATTTTCAAGAGTTTACCATGAATTTATTATTTGGTAACACGACAATATGATTTCAAACCAGTTAAATTTTTCATGTTGAAAAGGTGGGGGATTTCCGTTCCGTATATTCAGAGTTTGGGTCATTTCAAAAAGTGGTAACGGCTTGTACGATGTATGTTACTACATTTGGGACCACTAAAAGATCGTTTGTTATTCATGATTTCATGCAGGGACTCTTTTTCAAAAAATGACTGGTTTGAATTTAAAATGATGAACAGAAAAAGGTAGTCATTCCCTTTCATAATCATAATTGGAATAAAAAAGAAATTGCTGCGCCGCCTGAAATTTAAATATTTAAATTACATCAAATATTTACGGAGTTCATGCAAGCTCATTTTGACATGTTTTCGATTTATTTGAGTAAATTTTCCATTCCATTCCATTCCATCCCATTTTCATTCTCATTTTCACTTTCAATATTTTTTTTTTTTTAAATAAAACCGTTTTTAATCACAATACGACAATAGACATTAATATAATACTAATATAACCATAACGGCCCTTATTAAGACGAAAATGATTTTGACATATGTATGAAAGAATTTAAGCAACAATTTTTTAAAACGTACAAATTATTGTGGCTGTTACATTAGATAAAATGGCAAGTGACATCTGCATGAGACGCTTTAATTGTATGCACCAATCACATACACAAAGTTTCATGATACTGCGGGTGGAAATAGCGTTGGGTATGGTGATACGATATTTTTAAGGGAACTTTTTCTTGAGAGAACAATAGAGAAAGCCAACAAGGGGAGTCGAGTCAATAAAATATCAAAAGGTGTGATCCTGTGATTATCCTTATTCGTCAATCGGGTATTCCATGATGAAAGGTCTTAAAACTTTATATCATATCATAAAGAGTTAGTTTATGTTGATATCACCCGTGTTGGTTGGTGACCGAGTTATGTTTGATGCAACATTGCCACGAGAGGATGCAAAAATCGCGTGTGATTTATCAGAATGATTAGAATGATTGTCGATTGCGTGTACAGGCTTGATTCGCCTGATTTTTTAATTGGTGATAATTATTAATAATTAATTGGAAGTGATATATATATGCTTATTGAAATATATATATATATATATATACATATTTATTTTTATTTATTTATACATACAGTGTGTATTTTATATTATAAAAAAAAAAAAAACTGTAAATAATCGCCTATCACATATTTGACAGATTCTGCAAAGTATGGTTACAACGATAAACAATGGAAGTCACTATCCTTTTAAGGAATTTAAAACTACCATTTTTTCGTTTTTTAAACTCACCCAAATTCAACTTTTGATTGTTCAAATGACATTCCGAAAGCGGTTGGATAATAATACTAGGTAATGACATCATCATCGACAATACCTAAGAAAAACCTGCAGGACCGAATATGAAAATCATGAATTTTTGTGGCAAAGCCCTCCCTCTCTCTTTTTTTGTTACCTTACGACCAAAAATTGTCAAAATGAATTTCAGAGAGATTACTATGGAGAGAAAGAGCATAACCGAATAACATATTTGTGGCATGGAATGTATGTTACCGAATGAACCGAGGTTGTAAACAAGTTGCTTAAATAAAATAAATTCATCTCAATTATCATGATGAAATGAAACTTGAAAAGGGATCGTATTTTATAAAAAGTAAACCAATGTCAAAAAGGAGATTAAGGAGATATGCAGGAAGCAGGTTTTTCTTTGAGATCATTCAAGAGGAAAATTACTCTTTTTAATATATGTATATACTAATTCTAAAATTTCAAAATGGGATTTGTTTATCATTTGTTTACACTCATGGCGATTGTTTACTAAACATCTTGCCTCTTTTATACGACCCCCTCGACTAAATAGCATGGTTTGGTAGGAGAAATATGCAAACATTCGGCAATATTTATCTTAGTTGAACGTAAAAGAGATTATTATTTTTTAAATAAATTCCCCAAAAAAATAAAAAAAAATAAAAATAAAAATATTGTTTTGCATATCTTATTTAAATATCGCGCCCTTATTAATTTTTCCTATCTCTAAAAAAAAATTTTTTATTTTTTTTTTCCCTCCGTATGTCTAGGTTTGGTTGCTGTTATGTTTGTTTGTTTATTTCATGTTTACACTTCACAAAATTTCGCATCTTGCTGTAAAGTTTAGAAGGTTTAGTTGTCAAAAATTATATTATCCTTAATCTATGGCTAATCGATATTAAGCTGTTATGTATCTATATCTTAATGAGATTTTTTTTTTTTCTTGATGATCACTTCGGCAATGCCGATTCGATTCAGCAAATGTTACCCGCCACGTTCGTTTTTATGCCCTGCATTTAAAATATTAACTCTAAACTATATAATAACTAATCGATTTTTCCCAAAACCATGCTTGAATGTCAAAAAAAAAATTATTTTTGCTAACGAAAATTCCGTTCCACCTTTCATGTTTTTTTATGCGCTTCTCAATGAGCAAGTGACCAAGATTGGAAAATGATAAGATGAAAAAAAAAAAAAATTTTTTTTTTTTTTTTTTTTTCTTTGAAATTTGCAATCTTTCTTTTTTTAAACAAAATCAGCCGAAATGTCATTCTTTTTTTACAAAAACAACCGATATTTAAATTTAAATTAAATCTGCAAATTACAAATACAGACGAATGTTCTACGCCACTTCACATTCAAAGGATATCTTCCGAATACAATTGCCCAATCCATTATTTTCTGTCTTTAAGAGTCTTTTTTTTTAATAAAAAAAAAAAAGATAAGCATACATCCGGTTATTTATTTATTTTTTTTTTTTTTTTGCGCTCTCTCTCTTTTTCTGCTGTTGTGGACATCTAAATTTTTATGGCTATGATATGTAGAAAGAAAAGGCTTGTTGATCTTTTACTTTATTTATCTATATAAAATGAAATGAGACTTTTTGGTCTTACCCTTTTTTCGTTTAACAATTACCCTGCCAAGATGCACGAACAAAAATTTCCGCAAAAAAAAAAAAAAAAAAGGCTTCAAACCTGTTTCATGCCTTTCTCAAGAAATTACAATGTTCGTTCCTTCAAACTTTAATAAAGTAATTCTAATTGAAGTTCGTTCTCGCTCGAAATCCTGTTGTACTGCACATTGCAGGTGTTAATCACTGTGCTCGTGTCCTTTCTCATTTCATCCATCTGCTGACTCTTGTTTTTCATTTTTGTATGAAGTTTGTTTTTTATTTCATTACATTGTTCTTTATCCTCAAAAAGATGATAACTTTTAACAAATGAAATCGGATAAATTGAGAATAAAAAAAAAAAATAAAAAGATAAAATAAAATAAAGAAAAGGGAGAGAAAACTTTATCATAATATTACACTACATCAATGATTTGTTGCCAACAGATGTTATAAATTCCTGCGGAAAATGATTCATCCACACATGAATAAAGGGCCCTTTGGTCTTACGTCCTTTTTAGAAGTCATTATCCTCGTTCTTTTGATGCTCGCACTTTGGTCGCTACTTTGCTCTCGAATTTATGATATTGTTTAAAAAATGATTTCTTATTATATCCGAAAATTCATATGCTAATGATTTCATATGACCCATAATAAGTAGAATAACCTGCATTTATATTGCAAACTAATCCCGAAATTTGCCTTGTTACACTTGATTCATATATAATCCCAAGCCTAAAATTAGTATTACTACATGTATTATTTTTTAACATTGTGAGTTTTATGTAACCTGTCAACACAAATTTCCTGTTGAAAAAAAAAAAAAATAACATGATTGAACACGAACGGTATGAGAGCGACGCTGTTGATTTATATTCGAAAGAGAGTGTGAGTGAGAGTGAGGGTGAGAGAGTGAAGAGAGAAGGAGAGATTTTTTATCTCTTCTCGATGAACTTTCTTATAAATGAGTATTGTGATGCCCACGAAATATTGTAAACAATTTTCTGCATATTTGTCGACAGTTAAATTTATTAGATCTTTTTTAAATAAAAAAATATATATTTGTATATTTAAAAATAATTCTTATTTTATATTAGGATTAAATTATCAGGACTGCGTAATAATGAATTTTTAATATTTGAAAAAAAAAAAATTGTGCTTATTTATATTGAATTACAACAATATAAATAATTATAATACCGATATAATCATCTATAATCAAAAATTTTGATATACCGTTATACAATAACAATATAAATAATACTTGAATAGATAGATATATTTATCTTATTTATATTGTTATTATAAATTTAATATTATAAAAAGGTCAAAAAAGTTGTCTACGAATTTTCAATATTATCTGATATATATAAAAAAAAAATTTGCTTTGAAAAAATTATCTTCGCTTCTTTCTTGTTTTTTTTTAAAAAAAAATATTTTAGATTATAACTATTGAATTTTTGTGGATAGTGCCTAAAACACAACCACACAATAACAACATTAAGTAAAGACGGACATAGTGCAGTCTTCTAAAGGATATCTCTCAAGGTTAGTCTGCGTTTTGTAACAAATTGATACGGTTTTCTCGAAAAAAAAAAAGAAAAAATATTTTTTTTTTTTTTTTTCTCGTTTGGATATTCCTTTTCACCCTTATCTTGACTCGTTCTATCGTTATCTCGATGAGATTTTTCTCAGTTGCTTCAAACTCTTCCCTAATTTTTGTGGTTCGTTAGAATTCACGTGTTTTGTCTCGTAATTTTTTTTCTTTCAACTTTTTATTCAAAAATAAAAAAACGCGATTCTATTTTTTTACAAGTTATCTTAAAATCTTAAAATCTTCTCTTTCTTTTTATTTCGATTCTTCATTTTCCACACAAATCGCTCGATCGATTTATCATCCATTTAATTGAATCAACCCTCTTTTCTTTACTCCCCGGGGTTGACATATATATATATATATATTAAATATATTTAAAAACAATTGGTGCGTTTAAAACAATTTTTTATTTGTGCAAGTCAACAGACAAAGTTATATAAATATACATTTTCTTTTTTTTTTTAAGACCTCAATATCTTTTTTTTTTAAAAAAAAAAAAAAAAAAACAAACCATTAATTAATAATATAAATAAATCTTCAAAAATCTTCATTATACTACTGAATACAGATAATGCCGGCTACTTTACAATCTGCCGTGCGCCATAGTATTAGTACATCACCTACGAGAACAGACCACTATCCATACTCGCCAAACGGTATGGGTAGTTTTAATAACGATGAAAGGGGTGGTTACAGTAGACAGGTAAATGATTTTTTTTTTTTTTTATTGAAGTCGTTTCTGCGCCAATCATTTGCAGATCATCAAAGCGTGACCTGAAAAAAAAAAAAATAATTTTTTTTTTTTGAATGAGTCAATTCCTTTTATTAGAAAGGGAATATTCATTCGACTTTCCTAAATAATTATTAACCAATTTTTTTTTTTTAATAATGACATATTTAGGGCGCCACTACTAATTCTAAAAATAATCCCACCAGCATGTATAACACAATGTCAATTCTTTGGAAGGTAAAAATCCCCCATCAATTTTTTTTTTTATACTTGCACATGTCCTTGCATATGCATATAGTTTAATATATATAGGTATGTATGCTAAAACCCCATCCTCTATTGTATTATCATAGGAACAAAATCCAAATGAACAAAGGAACCTAACTACAATCAAAGGAGCAACGAAGGTGAATAATAAAATGTCAAGGTAGATTTTGCAACAAATTTATTAACTATCATTTATGAAAAAAAAATTTATTAGGCTGCCCAATCATCAACTAGACCTTCAACTCCACATAATAATCGACAAAAGAATACCGTTGAAAAGAAAAAGCCAAATGTTCAGGCTCCCCCCAGTAAAACAACAACGGTTAAAAAGACAAAAAATGATTCACCACCAGTTTCCCCACCACCAAGTTTAAAACAAAAGTCTTCTGGTGCTACTAATGGTCAGTCATCCACTCGTCCTGACAAAAGGCCAGTTACCCCACATGCTACTCAACCCGCAGGCATCTTGAAGGCTGATAAAAAGAAAATTGATGCGGTCTCTTCAAAAGCATCAACTACGCAAAATGCTCGTCGACCAGCTTCTCCCCCCGCTTCAGCCGCTCATTCCGCTCACTCTCGTTCTCACGTAAGTGCCGCCTCGGCCGCTCATTCCGCTCACTCTCGTGCTCATGTACGTGCGGCTTCTCCCCCCGCTTCAGCTGCTCATTCAGCTCACTCTCGTTCCCACGTACGTGCTGCCTCTCCTGAGGGTGCTTTGCGTCAAGAAAATAGAAAATTGAGGAGACAATTGGAGGATCATGAAGACTTGTTACGTGAAAGGGATTCCGAATTGTTAGAATATCAAGATCTCGTTGAAGCGTTTCAGGAACGCATTCGCCAAGTTGAAGCTCGTAACCGTGAATTAAAATTGGAAAATGACATCATGAGAAATTATATTGAGGAGGAGAAGGCAAAGAAGGAATCTATTGTCAATGAACCAACCAGGATTATTGGCTCTTTGATGAATAATATCCAAAGAATTCATGGTGAATCTGCTTCCTCCGTATCTGTTGCAAAATCTCCTTTGGATGTTAATTCCTCCAAATCTTCATCACCAATTCCTTCTGATTCCCCCATGACATCTCCAAAAACTTCTCCCGTCACGTCAAAGTTGAAGTCTCAGGAGCTCTTAAAAGCCAATAACCCTACAAAGGTTAACAATAGCCCACCCATTCGCCCTCATGTGGTTCCCCAGGCTCGTGGGAATTTGATCCCGGCTAATAAGAAAACGCCTCCTCAGGATGAACCGCATCCGCCGAGACCTACTGCGCCATCTCCGGCCGCTATGAATCGTCATGAGCCTTCGATGATCGGTGGGAGAAACGAAATGTTAAATAGAAATGTAGAATCTCGTGATCGTCAGGCTTTGGGTCTCATGAGAAAACAAAATGCTGCTTTAAACGCTGTCATGGAAGAATCTGAAGATAGCGAGGTCGATGAGTTTATTTTTGAACAAGAGGTCACTTCGGATGATCAGGCGGATTCTGAATTTGACGCCACCTCTTCAGCTGAATCGGACGATGACGACGAGGAGGATGATGATGATGATGGAACCAACGTTAATAATCAACTTAATCAACTTGGAATGACGGAAGATCATCAGAACGACGACACCGAAAATGACAGTCCTGACGACGAAGATGATGAATCTGTCAGCGATTTTGATAAATGGTCAACTCATGCTTCATCTAAACACGACTTGGATGCCATCGTCGAGGAAGATGATGAAGATGAAGACGATGAATTTGATTATGTACCACCCCAACCAAAAACTTGTCAACAAAAAAATTGGACTCCCGTTAACCCGATCGAACCCCATTTTGCCACCGTTGCTAAGGTTGCCTCGGCTGGTACCACCCCCCCTAAAAATTTTGCGGCCAACGTCTCCGGTACTCCCAACAATGATAAATCCTCACAACGTCGCGTCAATAGACGTTTTCATGTAGACTCCATCGGCTCTGATTCCGGTATCGGAAGTGCTCATGAGGAAATTTCTAGTGTTAAAATTTCATCGGCTTCTACTAAAGGTCAAAATGGTCAAACTGTCAATAACGGTCAATCGGTCTTTCCTTCATCATCGGTTTCTTCAAAGGTTAATGGCAAAGTTTCAACCCAAAAACAACAACGATCGCAACAACAACAAATTAATGCTCAAGATTATTTCTCCAATGGTCATCCTTCTTATCACCCACATCGGGATTCGATGTCATCTGTTAACTCCGATTCATCTGACGATTCTGCTTCATTCTCGGTTTCTTCCTCTCAAAATAACTCTTATCCATCTTCGGTCACCTCTCCATCATCCACACGAACTGATTCTTTTACTTCTCAAAAATTTGCTATCGGTTCATATGGTCAATCATCCTCTCAAAGCTCCAACTCTTATAACAACGGCATGGCTCAAAATAAAAATCCGATCAAAACTGGTTTAAATGATATCTATCCAACCTCGGTCACCACTACTCACTCTGATAATTCTGCTGATCATAATAATTATGTACAATCCAACAACAAATTTGTCACCTCTCACACGACAAAAAACTCCATTAAAACTGATAATCAATTCAACTCGGTCTCAAAATCTTCATCCGGTCATGATAATTATAATAACGACAATGCCCCGGTTACTCGTCTTCCATCCCCAACTTTTGCTACAACGGCTCGTCTTTCCGGCTCATCAGTTAATCATCAGTTAAACAAACGATCAAACCCAAACTCCCGTGCTTCTACACCAAGTTCAAATGCTTCAACTGCTCGAGCAAAATCACCGGCTTCTGCTTCAACATCTCGAGCTTCGACTCCTGCTTCTGAATCTAGTCGAAATGCCTCTGGTTATACCCGTAAACCTCGTCAAAACTCTAACGATTCCGACTCATCTGATAACTCTTCAACTGCTGTTCCCCCTTCACCTCCACCTCAACCATTGGCCAATAACGACAAGGAACCTTTTGCCACTTTGCAACATTATCTTCGCTTGATTTCTGAAAACAGTATCGTAGAAGATCCACTCAAAACTTACGATATTAAAAAAGTTATCGATGAAGGTTCATCTGCAAAGGTCTATAACGCTCACCCATTATCTAATCCCAGTGAAGAATGTGCAATCAAGATTGTCCCCCTCTCCTATTCTTTGGAGTTCATCTTCAATGAAATTTATGTGCTTAAGAATCTCAAGCACAAAAATATCGTCGATTGCAAAGAAAGCTTCTTACGCTGGGATGGAAAAACACGTGAAGTTTGGATTGCAATGGAAAAGTGCGCCCGTGGAGATGTAACAAATCGTGCTGGTAAAATTACCCAACGGGAAGTTGGACGCATTGCCGGCGAGGTAAATAAATACATCTTTTTTTTTTTTTCAAGGTTTTTAATTGATATCTTACATTGTTAACATTATTATTATTATTATTATTTAAATAGCTCTTGAGCGCGTTGAAACATTTACATGCCAATGGGGTCATTCATCGTGATATCAAACTTTCAAACATTTTGGCCGATGCAAACAATGAAATAAAATTAGGTATGTTTTTTTTATTTTAAAAACGACACCTCGATAGTGTGGAAATAATCTAACTGATAATCCCCCCTTTTTTTTCTCCTCATTAGCTGATTTTGGTATTTCGTCTTTGACCCCTACTTCGACTACCGCAATGGTTGGCACGATCCCATACATGGCCCCTGATGTTGTTCTCGTTGGACCTGACCGACCCTATGATACCAAAGTTGACATTTGGGCTATAGGTGTTTGCATTTTAGAGCTTTTAACTGGTAAGGCCGCCTGGGGACGCATCCGCGATGACGAAATCATGGACAAATTGCGCCGGGGTGAAATGCCATACGGTTTTCATCGTCTCCGAAAGAAAGCCGATATTGGATGGGAAGCCGTTGATTTCTTGGAAAAGTGTTTTGCAAGGACCCCCGAAAATAGATGGTCCGCCGAGAAATTGTTGGAGGTAATTATTCAGAGTGCGTAAAGTTAAAGAAAGGTTCGAAAACTAATTAACTCATTTTGATTTTTTTGAAAAATTTTCATAATAGCATCCCTTCATCACTGGCAATCGCAATTAAAAATTTTCCGTTATTATGATTTACAACAAACTCATCACGATTTTAAAAACAGATTTTATTTTCGAATTTCGATTACCGTTTTGGTATTTTTTTTTTATGTTTTTCAATAAATAAATTTAAGAAAAACCTTTTTCACCCTACCTACCTCTCCTATATATGCATTTCACCCGTTTCACTTCAATTTGCTTTATTCATACTTCGATCCTAGTGCTCATTACACAATGATGTATATTCTACAACACTATGTTATGAGCGTGAGGGTCTTTCACACTTACTATTAATTAGTCAATGCTTATAACATTGATTCTTTTTTAAGACTTTTTATTATGTATATATATTTAACCTTTTAAAATCATTTCGTTTTAAAATTATGATTTTCCTCCTCTCAATTAAGATAGATTTTAGATAGGTTTATATATATTTTATGATTAGTGCTAAGTTAGGCAACAAAAAAAAAAAAAATTTTTTTTTTAGGAATGAAAAATTCAATATAGTTAACTGTTTCTCAATATGTTATTTCACTGTTTAGTATATTTTTTATTTTCTTTTTTTTTTATTATTTTCTTTTACAAACAATCTCACACTACGTTCGCACAGCATTCATTCACAAGCATTGCAAGCGACGCAGCATGTTAGCTCGCACCATAATCATTTATTCTACTACCCCTAGTACACAACCTTTAATTTATTTATACACACAACACACAAACTGTTTTCACGCATCGACGAATTTTGGAGTTTAACCCAAGTCAACCCCCCTTTTATACCGACTTTGGTTCTCAAAATATTTTGTCAATCTCCTGCACTCAAAAACACCGACACAAAGCGCGGCGGATCAACATTTTATCAGACGCGTTATCAAACTACCCCGAATAGGGTAACAATTATTTTTAATCTTCTATATTTTACCTCCATATCTGGTTAGTAATGTATTTTTAATTTAATAATAATATACTTAATTCTTATTCCTGTAATAAAATAATATCCTTAATGTTGCAAATTTATTTAAACAAATCTTCTTTTCTTATTCAATGTCACCCGCAGATTATAAGCACGAAAGACGCATCATTATAATAATTACACAACTTACCACACGCGTCTCTTATGAAACAAACTAAAGCATGCAATCCAAACAATCAATGGATTTAACCGATGGACGCGTTTGAAAAAAGATTTACGCGCTTACCTATCACTAGGGAGGTCGATCTATTTTTATCTTTATCTCTCGACTTGCCTGTGAAGTTGGCGTTCTTGTGTGTTTTCAGGATGTCGCGTGGAACTTGTGTGTGTGGTGTAATTTTTTTTTTTATCAATGTGTTTGGTTTTTTTTTCATTTTATAGTTTTTTTTTTTCTCATTTACGTTCGTAGTGTGATCATCTATAGTTATAGTGAGACAAATTTTTCTCTGTATTTTTTTTTATATTCATAGCATATGTTTTATTTTTTTGGCATTTCTCTTGCATTTTTTTTTTGTTTTCTTTTCCCGTCATAGAACATGAAGAAAAAAATTTATTTTTTGTTACATTATTATATAATCATCAATTTTTTTGATCAAAAGCATTTAAAACAAAAAAAAAAAAAAACACTTGCATTTTTGTACATTTTTTTTTTCAATCAAAAAATTTCACGTCTTTTGGAGGACATTTTCTCATTTATTTTTGTCGTGATCTATTTGATGATTATTTTAGAGGAAAAAAAAATTTTTTTTTTCATTCTTCATCCACATAGAGGATTGTAAAAAAAAAAAGAAGAAAGAAAAAATCATACACATACATTTTTTTAAATCCAAAAAAAAAAAAACCAAACACCGTCTGTGTGTGGTTTTTGATTTTTTCTTTTTAATTGTTCATATTCGATAGAGGTAAAAGAAGACAAATATTATGTTTACACCCTTACCCTTTATATGATTATGATATTTATTTTATAAGATGAAGCAAATTGAAGCGATAAAAGATTGGTGACTAAAATTTTCTGAAAAGAAAGAAATAAGGTTAAAATAAGATATATATATTTTTTTTTAAAAAAAAAGAAAAATTAGATTATGATTAAGGAAAAAAAAAAGTTCGTGTAGGGTGAAAAATCTATAGTAATTTTTTTTTTAAGCTTTAAGATTTGATTTAATTAACGAGAGGAAACTAATAATAAAAAACCAAAAAAAAAACAAAAAAAAAAAACAAATTTGTTTCATAGCATCATTTTTTTTCTTTGTAAAAAAATTTTTTTTCTATTCAATTAGTTATTAGCATATTTCTTTTTTTTTAATTTGCATCGATATTTTTTTTTTTTGATTTGACGATTAATAATATTATCATTAAAAAAAAAAGTATTAATTTATTATAATTACCTCATAATCAAATTAATGTGTATGTATATTTATTCTTGATAGAACAGTAAAAATAGAGAGATAAAAAATAAATAGTATATAGATATATATAAAGGAAAACGTTCCCAAAAAAAAAAAAAAAGGTGTGGTGTTTTTTTTTTAAAAAAAAAAGTGGCGAGAAACAAAAAAAACAGTTGAAAGTTAGTAGCATCAAACGAAATCGCGATATTCGATGATTTATATGACGCGTTAAAGATCGTGATTTATAAGTTTATAATGATTTATAGATTGGTTTATTACGTTCGAAATAAAGTTGCTTTAATAAAACTGGGCCAGAACATTTATTTATTTTATCTCTCAGGGAAAGAAGAGATGACGGACTTTATGCTTTATGAATTTTATGCTTTATGAGTAATACTTTTTTTATTCAAGACGATTTTTATATCCGAGTTATTTTTTACTACAAAGTTCCGATGAAACCGCTACTATAACACTCTTCCGTTTTGCTAACGCGTACAGCAAGTTTTATCGTCCTTTATTAAAAAGAAAAGAAAGAAAAAAAAGAGAAAATAGAAAGCAAAAAAGATGAAAAGAAATTTTCAAACGTAAAAAATTTTTGAGGATAAAAAATTTGAGAGGAGGCAGCAAAGGAAATGACAAAAGTAAGGAGTTTATTCTATATATATGTTGACGGTTATAATCATACAAACAGTTATCCCGACTTGTGACGCATTTATTTTCTTTTTATTATCTTTGAATAAAATAAATAAATTCGGAATGTAATAAAAAGATATAATAATCAAATGTTGTATTACCAAACGAAACCCGCTTTACCTTAACAACTTATTTTATCCTATCCACTACAAATTTCGTTACATTAAAAAGTAAAATGGTTATTATTACTACGAACTAGATATGACTTTCTCATGTTTGGAAATCAAACATATAAAAAAAAAAAAAAAACTCAATGAGCCCGAATTCAGAAAAAATTTGCTTCCATTTTGTTAAAAAAAGTTCTCATTTCATTGTTTCATGCTTGGGATGACATTGCGCTTTACATGCATTTCAAATGCAATAAAACGTGTGTTTTCTTTTCCTTCGTGTCATGTCTTATTCGACGAAATCTTAAAATTTTAATTAATTTTTTTTTTTTTTATGTGTCAAACACATCTGCCGAAGAATTTTCTTTATCGAGCAGGATTTTGATTTGCAACACATTCGATTTCTTATGTTCTAATGTATGACGCCTTGTGCGTTGGCGTTGTATTTATTGTTTTCCTTTCTATCAAGGTTTAAAGGTAGCGTGTCATGTAGCAGCAAAAGGCGTAATTATTTACTACCAAATTATCTTTACAGAAATTACGTTCTATCATTTACCTTATTCGACGAACGAAACTAACTCTTTTCAAATCATTTTTTCGGTTGTGAAATCGAATCACGATTTGCTGTCAAATTTTCATACAAACATTAAATGAATAATGAATACATGCTAATATAGTATTTTATATTAGGTGTTATTATACTTAGAAATTACCCAAAAACTCAAAAAATGTTTGTGAAACTTTTTCCACGCTTGTCATTTAAACGAAAATCTAATCTAAATTTGGAAGGCTTTTTTTGGTAGTGTAAAAACTGTCAATAATGTCATAAATTAATGTGTTATTATTAAATTAATTACATTTGAATGATTTTTATATTAGTTGCATAACATAAATAATTTTACAATAGCTACATTGTATAAAAAAAAAAAATCATCATATCACCTTTTTTTTAAAATATAAAAATATGTAATTTTTTTTTCTTTTCAACTTTGGGTTTTAAAAGGATTCGACTTTATGATTCATAATAATGATTATAAATAATCATCTTTTGTCACCCGAAATAATTTTCTTGATATTACAAATGAAAACTTATCACTGATTTGAAGACCAAATCAATTTCTATTTTAACTTTCAATTATATCCATTAAAAGCATATATTTATATATTTATACATACACGTATATATTAGGATATTACCAAAAACTTAGCCGATAATTTCTTGATTTTTTTGTTGTTGTTCAACTTTTTTTTACCTCCGAATTTCGGCTATGCACACCCATATCACCACCAAATTTATCATCGTTATTATTTATTATATTTTGCATCATTTTTATTTCTCAATGATAATCCCAATTTAGGGGTATCTCAAAAAGATTCGTTAAATGAACGAACAATAGGAAAATTGATAAGAATTCTTTGAATTCTCGTGATCCTTTGAACCATATTTCTACTTTAGTTAGTATGTATAAACAGACAAGTTTGAATGGTTCATTTTTCACGGTTCACAAAATAACAATTATAATCGTTGCACACAATCACACACAAAACGACACCCTTGAATGCTCATCACAACAGCATAAACATTTATCTCTCTTTTCCCTCTAAATGACGATAAAAAGAAAGTAATGTACGAATCAAAGGTGACCGTTTCAACTTGTGAAAATTTTCAATGATTACATTGTCATTGATCTCATCCTGTAAAGAATTTAATGAGAGATTTTCAGCATACATGGCATCTGTTGATTCATCTATTCGCATGTCAACCTAAATGTCACAACACGTTTTTTACCACTTGATCAATCTTTTGTGTTTATCACTTCAACTTTTCTCATAATGCAATTCCTCAATGGTATTCATGTATAAAGTTAATCTTTGCCTCAACTAGGATAAAGTTGATCCGTTTTTAATAATCACAAATGATTTTGGAACAAGTTTTTTCCCAAAGATTCTTACAAATCATTTGTGGTGTTACGCGACATCAAAATATTTTCTATAAAAGTATGTTCCCCGCGGTGACAGTATCTTATTTCATTGGTTAGTATCACTTTTGATTATCTTCATTTTTTTAGGGATACTTTATCAAACTGCGTGTGACCATGAAAAAATAACTGAGGGAATTTTTATTTAACTTTTTTTTTATATATATATATTTTTTTTTTTTCATGAGAAAAATTTTCAAATCTCTAAATCAACCATTTTTTTTTTTTCTTTTAACCCATTTTTTTTTTCTTAGTCATCTTAACACAAACCTGCCTTCTTCTTTGAATGTATAATCACACTTGCTTGCTTTTTTGAAGATTTAATTTATGTCAAAGGTGAACTTTGGAATGGCGGCATAACAAAGAAATTCAAAGAAAACCTTTACGCAACAATTTTTTTTTATATTGATACTCGGAGAAAGTTAATAATGAAGCATTTTTTTTGTAATTAAGCAATAACTGATTAATTAAGATAAATGATTTAGTTCATTTTCTTGTTCTTATTATATTTACACGTGGTTTAATATTACGAAAAAGCAGGAGAAAATCACACGCTTTTATGCAACTATCTGTTTACCTATTTGAATAAATCAAATGTATACACTCGAAATATCATTTTCTTTCAAACGCGTTTAATTTCTGAAAATGGTTAGACGAACCCCTTTTTGTTTGAATATATGGATAACTCACTTACCAAGCATTAGAAACACTAAATTATTGTACCGAGCCGGGCAAATGAATTCTTATTTTAAATAAAGAAAAAAGTTATTTTTTTCCCTCAAAATTTGTCCTTTTTTTTTTTTTTTATTTGGCGCCATAGATTCTTAAACTTTAATTACGCCAGATTTCAATCAAAAATAGGATCCACGAATTAATAAAAAAAAAAATCTTAAGTTTTTTGCGCCGAAAAAAAAAAATTTCATTTAATGAAATTTATAAATGATTACTCTAATTTAACTATTTAATAGAATCATCTCATTCGTAACAGTCGTTTCCTTATTTACCTTTCTTTGCACTTTTCCTTTAAAATCACACCATTAAAGAATTCCTTTTTTTCATATTCAGTATCGTGATTATAAATAAATAAATAAAAAGAGTACCTAAAAGTATGCCATAGCATGTGAAATCCTGAATAAATTCAAGAAAACCTTTTAGAAAAATATAATGTTTTATACTAAAAAAAAAAAAATTGATATCATTATCTATAATTTATACTTATTGTAGATTATGTCGTTTGTGTAATTTCACTCTCACCTTGAGCATGTGAAAAATAATTTCACCTCTTTTTAAATATATGCATATAACTTAAAGGAACGCAATCGTAAACGCACCCAATGATTACGTCCCAAGACAACCTTCCCTAAATGTATTAATCAAGTGTTTGAAGTACCGCTACCACCATAATATGTGCAACATCCTTTTGTCTTTTTACGTTATAGATGTCATTTTTAATATTACTTAAATAATAATGTATGGAAGGTCAAAAATGTGATAATTATGCTTGTCTGAGCACCATGTGGGAGACCCTTGAATTCTTCAACTACATTTCTTTTTTGTGTTTTTTTTTATTCAACAAAAACTTTATTATTAGAATCATTGAAAGATATGTAAAGATAACGAATCATCATCTTCATCATCATTATCATTTTATTATTATTTTTATTTTTATTTTTTTTATAAAAAAAAAGAGTCCGAATTGAACCTGAATTTGAACAATTTTGAATTCCTATTATTTTTCCCCATTGTTCTTGGAATTGATTAACCGGAAATTATATGATGATTTTTCTATTATAGTTGGTGTGGTACAAGGACGAGAACAAAGAATCGGATGTTTACTACGCCAGATTAATATCATACATGAAACAAAACCCGTTAGCGAATACCGATTTGGTCACCGATTAGTGTTGGTTATCCTATGAGGTAACTTTATAATGGATCCTGTGTGTATTTATGTGAAGTGGCGCAACTTTCAAAAAAAAAAAATCGATCCAAATGAAATTAACAATTTTTTTTTTTTGTCATGAAATAAAAGTGGTTAGATAAGATGCGATTACGATATCGAAAACAATTGGTCTAATCACGTATGTTCTAATTGGAGAATAGACTGCTGCAAAGGTGATTACCCTCGTTCGCGCGTACCAAGGAATCCAAGGGATAATGCTAACGAACATCCGATCCTTTTGTTCATTTTACACGTCATTTTACGTAAAAGCAGCAAATAAACAATTCTGCTAGAATTTTAAAAACAAATCATTTCGGATAATTATCAATCATAATAGTAACGCGTTATTGTTTGTCTCAATACATGCAAGCATTCGGATTTTACCGTAATACTTATACATATTTTTGGGGGGAAACCATTCACAAATTTATTTATTTAATGATACTATTTATTTGCATTGCGAAATTTTTTTTAAAAAAAATAATAAATAATCCCTTTTTAAGCTTTCACCCGACTGTCCATTTGTTTTTTTTTTTTTTTAAAAGAAAAAAAATTATTTTTTATCTTCTTGGATAACAAACGAATAAAACTTTCCGAAACGTAACATTCTGCAGATAAACAAATTTCAAAGAATTAATTTAGAAAAATATAATAATCTTACGCGTTTATAATATTTGTTATGTCGCTACATCTAACTTTTTTTCATTATGATAAATGAATAAATTTTATTTTGGATCAATACGCAAATATTTTAAACCTGTATGTTAATTAAATTAATAAAGCATCGATGCAGATGCATGCAGAAATCCAGATTTCGTAAGTATAGTTTAATTTTTCAAATATTGTACCAGTTACTTTCGTGATATGAAAATCGTTTGTGTTAAATACTCGTGGAGCAACTTTTGAAGCACTTTTTGTAAAATACACGAACTTACGGACCTTACAATAGCGTACTGGAAGTTTATTATATGCACGGATTTCCGAGAAGACACGTAAAAATTTTCAATGACTCGTGATTCGGAACATTTAGGATAAATTCAAAATGGGTGAGAGAAAAATAAACAAAGATATTGATCAAATGCTTTCATTTTTCTTTGAACTTGTAACAATGAATGATAGAAAGTGATTATAATTATATATGTATTGTATATATAATTAGTATGATTTTAAAGAATAACTGTATTTTAATACTTGTCAATAAAAGAAATAAATAAAAAAAAATAACAATATTCAGTATTTTAGTTAAAATTATATACATATTAACTAAAAGGTTTAAAAATTATTTAGAAAACTAAATCTAAGATATCATCATTATTATAATTTAAGTTAATTTTCATTCATTTTATATTTATTAAATTTAAATTTTATTTATAAAAATTTTAATATAAATCTCTCATTAATAATTGATTTTTATCAAATAATAATTAAAAATTATTCTAGCTTTTCTAAATGCATAAGTAAATCTATTTTGAATTGATCACTACCAGCTTTGATGATCTAATATTTTTAAAACAATGTGAAAAACTATCAATCTTTTTTTATTTCTTTAATATATTCTTATAATTCTATTCTTTTCTCTATAGCATTATTCTTAAATCTAATATATATTGCCTTATTATTACATTATAGCATTTTCATACTAATTAATAAATCTTTTTTCTATTTCTTCAAATACTTTAAAATTGTTTTATCTTTTATTTTATTATCAAAAATATTATTTTTTATCAATTTTAATAACTTTATTTTGATTTTAACAACTTTATTTTCTATCCATTCTTCTTTAATAATAATCTTATTATTTAATTATACATAATATAATAGTATCTGTTATGGTAGAATTATATAAATATATATTTTTTAAAAAAAAATTATCATAAATTATAATAAAATCAATAATGTTTTATTAACAACTAATTTAGCAAATTTATGAATAATATTTAAAATTAGTTAAATAAACTAATTATTAAAGTTATAATAAAGTTTTAATGAAATTTTGACAAAAAATAAATAATTTCTAATCAATTTTTCAAAATTTTATATATACTGGATAACCCTCTTATAAGAGTATTATCCAGTTGCACTATAATGTTTTCTAGTTATGAGTATAATATTACCTAATTACTGTTTTCACTGTTCTGTGATCGTTTATTACTTTATTGATATCCATTTATTTTATTGCTCTGTAGCCTTTTTATTGCTTTGTAGATATTTGCTTAATTTTATTACTCTATCCTCTTTTTATTACCTTCTAGCTATCCACTTGTTTTTATTGCTCTGTGGTCTTTTTGTGGCCAAGATGCTTGGTCGGCCTTGATTGCTAAATCATGTTGCAGTCAGGTGGCACAGTAAAATCACATGACTTTATTTTAGTTAATTTCAACCCAAAATTATGAAATATAATGCTAGTCAAATTATTGTAATTTACTGCGCCAAAAAAAAATCATGTGTGTGATATGCTTCCAGAACCTTCTCATCACTTTCCTGTCACTTTCTCGCTACTTTTGAGGTTTTGACTAGAGGATCTAATGGTTGGAAAATCAGAAGTACTAAGATCAGCTTATATAATTGCCAGGAATTAGTGCTGAACTTGCTTGTAATCCTACCCTCATTTGATTGCTGGATTGAAACATGAAGTGCCAAATTTGCAATCCATATATTTTCCTTCTCGATTGCTATCTCTTGATTGCTAGATGAGATACAAAGTGCTGAATTTGCAATCCATCTATTTGCTGAAATGTGTCACAATCCATTCACTCACTTTTTGATTGTTAGTCAAACACGAAGTGCTAAATTAGTTTAGGCTATATTGCTTTCATACCTTTTTTGTGTATCTTTCTGAGCCTTTTTACCTTTTCGATCTCTTTTTTGCCTATCGGTGGTAGTATCTAAAAGCATAATTTCTTATTTTATTTTTATATATTTCTACCTTTGGATACTACCAAATCTATACTCTTGTTTTTGCCTGAGCCTTTCTAGAATTCTTTCTCGTATAGTTGCTATTTTAGAGTATTCCTATGTATGATTACTGCAAATCAGACATATGCAAAATATTAAATTAGTTCTGACTATATTGCTCCTTTTTTTGTGTATTCTCCTGAACCTTTCTATCTTCCTGATCTCTTTTCTGCCTATCAGCGATAGTACCCAAAAGCATAATTTCTTATTTTATTTTTATATAATTCTACTTTTAGGTACTACCAAATTTATACCCTAGTTTTCGTCTGAGCCTTCCTAGAATTCTTTCTCATATAGTTGCTATTTTGGGGTATTCTTGATTATTTTAGGTTATTATTGTATCGATTAATTTTGGGTACTACTACATCAACTACTTTTGAGTATTACCACATTGGTTACTTTTAGATACTACCACATTGACTACTTTTAGATACTATCACTGATCCAGTATTTTACTAACAAGCATATTCGCTTAAAATTTTTATTTTGAAAATTTGGGAAATTTACATGTAATTTTATACTTAGTATTTTCATACATTGTATTATGCTACTTGTGCAAAAAAAATACTGGACCTCATTCACTTGTTTGTTTTAAACTGCTTGAATTAATTTTTAATAATCTCAAGATTAAAGATATATTATATTCCTATCTTACTGTGAATCATCAATAGAATTTTGAAGTATTTCGAGCTATTTTAAAGCAAAAAGAAAGGGAACTTTATGAAGATCTTGATTTTATAAAATATTGGTTAGACTAGAGTAAACAAGAAATAACCTGTATTTATACAATTCTTTATACTTCATATTATAATTAGATTATAGCAGGAGAAGAAATTGCAAATGTTCATGCAGTAATCAAATCACATATAAATAATCTTACAAGAATTCTTTCCTGTTTTATTAAGTCTTCTGTTTTACAAAATAAATTTTATATATAATGGCAAAATCTTTATAAACAGACAAAAAATTGTTAAAAGATATCAATTTACTTGATGATATCAATAATACATAAAAAGAGCGAATATATAAACAAAATTATTGAGCTGTATTATTAAGTACCCTTAGTCGAAATTGCCACTTCTCGCTAAGAATACTGATAATACTTATGCAATAGTAGTAACCAAGTTTAATTTTACTTTCCTGGATTTACATATATCCATATTGATTCTTCTGATCAAATTAGTCTGAAGCTGATGATCATTACCACAAATTTCTATATGTGATATTTTATTGCACCTATAAAATGCAAGATAAAATTAACACTAAAGCTTTAGCATATGTCCAGAGACGTAAAGGAAGATGCTTAGGCAAAGTTAGTTCTAATATATATTTATAGTCATGTAAAAAGGGTTATCATTGGGATGCGCTATATAAAAATATGAAACAGAATTATAAATGGTGTACCATTTGTCCTAATGTACTGGAAAAATATGCTGGTATATATTTAAGGATTTATTACATAAAAAATTTTCATTCTGAAAGCCTAAATTCTTGGAGGGATTATATCTAGATAGTTATAATAAAAAATTAGGCTTGATCTTTGAATATAGTGGTAGCCAACATTACCAAATTGTTCTTTTTTTTCACCTACAAGAGCAGATGAATCTAGACGCACAAATTTAACGTGATTAGGAAAAGAGAACGCTATGTTACAGAGAAGGAGTAATTCTTATAACTATATCCTACTGTATAGTAGACTTAGAAACTTTATAAGGAACGTATTGTACGCATTTTGTTATCTCTCAATACCTACCTAAGAGGCAATATAGATTCTTCTTTAATATGTATTAACTGTTTTCTTATGAAGGATCGTTGAGACCCTGATTCATCTAAATAATATAAAATAGGCATTAAAGGATTCTTTCCAACAACAATTCTTCAAATTTTATGCAGGCTAGGAGACCATATTGGATCTGTTATTCTGCGTTATTAGAAAGGATCATTTTTCTACTCTTCAGAAGTGAGTAAAAATCAGATAGTAGTATCCTTTAGTAGTTGTAATTTATCAACACCTATAGGGCGATTATATTTTACCAATAGTTTAAAATATATTCGCTCAAGTTTTGTGGTATAATTAAGACCCATTCCAATCAATCAAATTGAACTATCATTCATATTATCAACAATTTTTCTTACAAACTGCTTACATTCTCTACAGCGTTTGCCAATAAGCAGAAAAAATTCTACTGAATACTGATTTTTAAAAACTCTTCTAGAAAAATGTCCAGCATAATTGTCAAGAATAGCCAAGCTTGTATATCTGAAACGTGCTATAATTCTTCAGATTTTAACATCATATTCATTTATTAATAAAGTCACATATCCCATAAACTCAGTATCCTTATCACATTGTAATTTTCGAGGTTAGTTAAGAAGCTTATCAGAATTATCATATATACTCTTAAATGCTTTCATGACTTCTTCACTATTTTTTAATGTTAAAAAAACAAAATCTTTAAATCTAGTCGTATAGTCTATAACTAATAATACATAGTAATATATTGGGCTATCATCTAATAAATTTGTATCTACATCTTCATTATATGATTAGGCAAAGAGACCAGAATATTTTAAATTTACAGAGATAAATTTTAGCGTTACAGAATAATCCACTAAATTAAATAAACATAGCAGGAATACCGCAACCATTTTTTGACTAGGGTGATGATATCTCTGATTTTCTTACAAAACTTAGATTATACTTGCAAAACCAAAGTGTAGATCCAGCAGATAATGCAGAAGCTTCAGTAACAGGAAAAGATTAGACAATAGGGTATTTGAGAGAATGTATGAAAGAAAGAGCCTTAGAATAGTTTGACGAAGAGATTACTACAAAGCAGAATTAGAAATTAGCGAACTTACTTGATAATATAGGACAGGTTAACTTAGTAGCTGTAAATAAGTAAAATGTAAGTCAAATAGGAAATCAAGTATTAAATAAAGCTTTTTGCCAACCAGACACTACAATAGTCAAGTTGAGAGCTGTAAAAGGTCTTTGAGATAAAGATTGACGCATAGCTGGTAGTCATCCTACTAACATTATTGTTAATGCACTAAATGCTAACAATGGTACTATGGTAGTTGTAGCTGGTATTCATTTTGGTTAAGCTATATAGTAACTAAAAACGCATTTTTCTACAGTAGAAGAGGAGCTTCGTAATATGATGTATGAAACAATCACGAAAGGAAATATGACTATAGATGAATTATATAGAAAAATAGTACAAATAGGTAGACGAGCTAACTATAAGTCTAAAGAATTACGTAGAAAGTTCTTAGATACCCTTCCACTGCCATAACTTGAAAAAGCTGAAGATATTGGCGAACATTTGCCATTAGATGAATTAGCTAAAAAGCTTTATAAGATAGAGTTATGCCAAATAGCTAGATATAAAAGAGATAAAATATCAAATCTGCTAGTATCTAATCAAGCATTCTGGCAAATATATGAATCCTCGTCTATTTCAACTTCTCAACAGTAAGAAATTTCTTTAGAAGATATGCAAAAAGCAATTCAAAACGCATTAGCTTAATAAAAAACTGAATATTAAACTTTATTAGAAAACCAGAAAGCTGAATTCTAAGCACAGATGACTCAGCAAAGTAAGAAAACTCCTTCACCAATTCCTCCTAAAAATATGAAGCAATTACTTGATTTATATGAAAGTAATAATCCTTTTGATGGACCTCCTATATCACATAAACCAGAAAAATTACGTTTAGCAAAAATAAATAGATTGGAAAGTATAGTAGATAAAGTTGCGAACACTGTAAGTAGTGTTGCAGATTCTGTAGATCAATTAAGTAATCAATTAGGAAGAATGTTACTTAATGATCAATCTCAAAAGCCTTTTTATTGTAGTAATTGTGGATAGAAAGAGCATAAGAAAAATAACTATCTTAGATTAAATCCTGTAGCTAAATCAAAATTTTTCCAGCATTATTATCTTCAACTTTCATCTACACAGTCCTAATACACACCTTCAGATTCTGATAATAAGAAAGATGGTCATGATAAAGTAGAAAATGCGTGGTATTATATACCTAAAAAAAAACAACTACCACTAAATGATAAGTTACCTCTAGAGTCCAGCTAGCTGAAAACATATGATAAATTATTTCTAAAACTTTTACTGGTAATGCAAAAAATGTGTTAGTCTCATATAATTCAGAAGAAAGAATTAAAATCAGATGAGTGGTTTTCATCATTACAATATCTGAATGCTAAAATAGATAATTTAATGATCTCTAATTCTTTTTTAAATAGTGTGAGCAAGTTCAGGAGAGCGAATGATGTAACAATTAATGCCCTTGAGTGAAAAGCTGATAAGCCATCTGACTTCGCAATAAAAGGTAACTCCAAATATATTACTGAATCATTAGGATGGTTTATAGATGTACCAATCAGTATAAAGGATAAGGATAGTAAAACTGTTACAGCTACTGGAAATTTTACTCGTATTGATAATAGAAAACCTGAACCAATGTTATGTTTAGGTATGACATGGATTAGGAAAGTTCAAGGTATCCTTGATCTAAATAAAAATTAATTTTGAATGAAGTTACATGGGAAAACTTACATTATCCCAACTATTAGCAAAGCTTCAGAAGTTGAAGATCTGTCTAAAGAAAAGCAAGACCAAGAATATACTAACTTCTCTAGCCCAACTAGTGAGAAAAACTTAAAAAAAAAGTGCATAAACTGTGTAAAACTTGAAAAAAGTCTTGCAAAGGCTAAAAAAATGATCTATTTAACCTTAAGTACTGGTAAATTTCTTGCTAATACATGTGAATCTTTATATAAGGATGATATTAGCCATTAAACCCTTAAGTTTTTTACTGTGATTAACTAGATTTTTAAGAAGAGATTTCACCCTGACTTCTCAGAATATATCAGACGAATTATCAGAGAAAGAGATCACATCATTTTTGTTATTTTCAGGATAACGCTTCTTTTTTTCATCTACAATTTTTATGCTTTTTTTGATCATCTTCTCATACAATGCATCCAAATTTACATTATTTATATCCTTCTTTAAAGCTAGGATTGGTTGAGTCTCAATAGATGGTGCTGACAAAGCTAACGTAGACTTAAACTTCGACTTCTTTCCTCCAGTCTTTTTTACCTTCTCATCTTCTTCTAAAACTGAATCAATAAATTTACTAGGCTCTATCTTAGCATCACGTATTTGTTTTTCCAAATCTGTAAATGGAAAAACATCTTGGTCTTAGATCTCTGGTTCGGTCTATCTGCTTACAATATTTATATTAGAAAGTGAAGCAATCCCCCCAGGACCAGCTGTTGACATATGAATTTGTTAATTTCATGCAATCCTATTTTTTCTTCACCTCTCCAGATCTGATAAATACATTTTGTGATGTGTGATATTTATCTGTTAAATCTTTTAAAACTTTATCTCTAGGCTTTTTTTCAGCACATTGCATAATATGATCATAATCAGTTGATAAAAAAGAAGGAACATCATATCTAATGCGTTGCCTAAGCATGATAGCAATATTTTTTTATATATTTAATATAATACTCTATTAAATAGGATATATAGAAAAAATGTATCATTCTGAATATATAGGATATACAGGATATATAGGAAGATAATATTTCGGATCTATAAGATATACAGAATAAATAGAATATTTAGAAAGAATGTATTATTCTAAATAAACAGATTATGTCTATTATCTCAAAAATTTATTTGTGCATTTTTTCCCTGCTAAATAACCATGCCAAGATTATATCCAATATACATACATTGAAAGATATAAAAAATAAAGGACATCGGCTGGATAATGCATATGAGCAAGAGCTCAAAACAAATAAGAACTGCTATCAATTTTAACTCTGAAATTACTGATTTCAACGAAAAGTTGAAGGCTGAAAATTTAGAGCGAGAAAAGAAGTTTCAGTGAACTTATACTGATATTAAAAATAAGATTAGCCAGTTAAATGCGTCTAGCAATAAAGTTAGATCCCAACTTATTTCTGAACGGAAGTCTCATTCTGAGAGTCAACGTAAGCTTGAAGCTAAATATTTTGCCAAAATCAAATTACTTAAATCAAATATTAAAACACTAAAGAGAGAAGCAACTTTAGCCCAAAAAGCTTCGTCTGCTGACAAGATCAAGATTCTTTCTCTTGAATCTAAAGTATGTAAATTGGAAGATAAGTTGGATGATTTGAAACTAAAACAGGTATTCCATGATTCAGATGCAGTGAGAGGAGTGGTAGAAGAGCCAGCTCAAATAAATACATTTATAATGAATGATCCCAAAGAGATCAATTCTCTCAGGCTTGAATTAGTACAGATAAAAGAGAATCTAAATTCAAAAAATCATGAAATAAAATATATAGAAAAAGGGATAGAAGTAACACATGAAATAACCAGTCAGAAAATAGATAGTTTGTCCTCAGCACAATTAAACTTACTGGAGAAAAATAGGTCCCTTAGAAATCAGTTAGTGTTAAAGAAAGAGCCAAGAGACGTTTCATAT